GGGGTGTGTAGCGCAGGGAGGGTGCCCCCCACCTTTTGGGGGGGGGGGGGGCATGTGTCCCTGAATCAGCTGAAAAAGGACATCTGGAAGGAAATCAAGAGCAGCTGATGCATTGGGATAAAGAGTTTCCTAGATTTCCTTTTAGTGCCTGACACATCAGCACATCATGAAAGAATGTCCCCTCTCCTCCTCCAAGGGTATAGATTTGGCACAGAGTAAGGGAGCACCCCTCCAGACATGTAAAGGGAAACAGAGAGGGCTGTAAAGGCATGGATTCTTCTCAGACAGTTATTCCCTTCTTCCCCTGCTTTTCTGCATGCCATGTCCCAACACAGAGCCCAAAACAGCAACAGGATCTTTTCTTCACTTGAGTAGGTCTCTTCTGCAACATCTGTACTACTAATCTCCCATTACATCTTCCATAAGCTTCTGTACATTTCTCCATTACTTCTTCCATTGCTTGCAGTTATTTGGGTTGGATTTTTTTTCAACAGCATCACATCTCCTTGCAAAAAATGTTGTGTCAGTGTTCAAAACCCTTGGCCACTCCATATGTCCTGGAAACAGCGCAATCACTGCTCACACTTTGTGAAGAAGACAGTCTCTTGGTGTAGGGTCATTGCATACACACACACTCTCAGAGGCTGTTACAAACGTACATTTCATCCCTCTGCTCCAGCTTTACAAAATATCTTTTGGTTAGCTGTTGGGTGGGCATTTATGTATTACTGATTTTAGATAAGGAGGATATAGTTGAATGCATTCTTTAGAGGTTTCCTGCAGTGTTAATCACAGCAAGTGATTAAACAGGCGTATTTTCCGATTAACATTTACCGTTGCAATTAGTGCAAGGCTGTGCCCTTTGAGCTAGATGCCTTGTGGCTAAGTTCAGCAGTATTGCACATCAAAAGGACCTTTGGCTCTTGGAATAATACAGTGATAAAAAATTTCAGAGGCCTTTTAATTTAACTGAGTCTGGTTTTCTGGAAATTGGTATTGAGTGGTGTCTGTTAATCTATCCTTCTCAATAGAATAAGAAAAATATGCTGAAAAAGCCACTCTTTTTTCACCCTTACGTGTCACTCAAAAATCTATTCCTGCT